TGCATATCGCTGAAAAAGCTGGGCTGGAGTGCAGGCTGAGGACACAACACACGTTGTTCAAATATTCGTCTACAAGCTGGCCAATGATTTGGGGGTGTTTCGTCTACATGGACCGGAGAGGCCCAAGGTGCGCTTGCAGACCAGCTCACGGCGCTAGGACAATCGCTTCTCCCTTAGATAACGTACTGTTCACTGGCATTGGGCGTTTGAAGCAACGCTTGCGGGCTGGCAGTTGCCGCCCCTGCAGATCTTTCTCAGATGATCTTCCAAAGTTGGTTGGTTGTTGGCTTGAAGGTTCTTTCAATTCGTCAAGCACATGTTTTAACAGATGCTTGATATGTACTATACCCGAATGGGGCCTGAGAATTCATTTTCCACTGTTCCGATTCCTGGATCATCTGAATAGTTAGAGAAGTGGGAATGCCCAGGACAATCCCAGAAGCTGGAACGCGGCTTCCGGTCAACGCTTGAAGAGGGTTACAAGAAGCTACTAGGAACAAAGGGCATCGCTACTAGGAGCAAGGACGCTACTAGTAGCTCCTGGCCATACTGCTAGTAACAGGAAGCTACTAGGAACAAAGGGTTGGGCAGCGTAGCCTATCATTCCACGGACGGAGCTGGAGCTCTGGACATCATATGTCCAAGCTATGGGAACCACAGAGCTGAGCCGGAGAGTTCTTAACCTTATAAAATCTAGTTGATATATCTATATATAGTTATATATATATATATGTTTAATGGGTCTTCATAGCTATGCCATGACTACTGAGGCTCAAGTTGGAACATAGCATCACTACAAGCACGAATGGCTGCAGTCATTGGATGGGTGTTCATAAAGGATGGTCCAACCCTGATTCAAGAATGGCGCGAGCTAAAATGCTTCGGAGTGGACCTGGATGACGTTCCTTTTTTGTTGAACTCGTGACTAATTGCCTTCAAGTTGTCCAGCCCGCCAGGGCCCCAGGGTTGCTCCCAGCACTTGGATTCGGATGTGGGTCTCAGAACACGCTGCGCCGACACATCCTGGCACAATGGCACATTGTCGATGAATTCCGAGCAATTTTCGCCCAATGGTTGCCCCACTTCAAGCCTCCTCAAGACACACCTACAGATCCTACGTGATTCCGCCCACCCCATTGTCACTCGTGATTGTTTTGTGTGGTCAGACGAAGATCTTCACGGTGCCTGGAGCAACCCGGGCAACGCACACTGCACCTCGTCGGATCCCGCCCTCGCGGCGGAGTCACGCAGCGAAGAAGCATCTTCCTCGCACGCGTGACCTGGTCGTAGGGCTTTAAAGGCCGGAAATGGCCCAGACCCAGTTGCTAGAGAAGGGCCTGAAGGAAATGGAGTGTTTGCTTACTATTGCTTGGCTGTTTGGTGCATATTATGGTGCATTATAAAGAATCCCAGAGGCTTTTCAGTATGCTGTAGGCTCTGGGAATGTTTTTTGTTCAATTCAGGAAATCCTTGCGTGCTGGGAGGCTTTGGGCCAAGCAACTCATGTGTGCAGGCGTGCACAGGACTCAGGGAACAGAAGCCGAGAAACACACCCATCCCAGTTGACCAGTGACCAGTCCTCCCTGTTTGCGCTAAATCCTGGTGCCATGTCCGCAGCCATCCGCAGCCGTTTGGCCGGAAAGCAGATAGAAGCGCTTCAGTCGACCATATGTTTGCGCCTTGCGGCGCATTGCGAATCCGGAAGCCCGCAAAGCCGGTGGTTGGTCGGAGTCCGACTCATTAACCACTCAGTACTTGAGCCACCAGAACTGCCGACCAAAGCCAATTCTTATCAAGCTGCAGGAATTTCCTTTGGGGTGGTTAACATTCATACATCTTCATGGTCCAGAGTTCCACGAACCCCCGAACGAGACTGCAAAGACCGATGCCCTGGTCATTGACACTAGTAGCGTCCTTGCTCCTAGTAGCGATGCCAGGAGCCCCTAGTAGCTTCTTGCTCCTAGTAGCCAATCAGTTGCCTGTCAGTTGGCGAACCCAATACTTTCAGAGACCTCATCCGCCATCCGCCACTTTTCGGCTGGCTCATGAGCACCTCCACGAGGCAGAGGAAGATTTTCAGGCATGCTGTGGCTAGGGCGTGGAGTCCTCTCAGGCTGATTTGTTTGTTTAAACATATTTCATATTTCTTTGTTCTGGTGTTCAGCAGGGTTGACCTGTACCTTGGCCAAGGGGCTTGCTGTAGTTCTTCTAAATTCTTGTCTTTGCTGTTTTCAGGGCATTGGTTTTCGAAGGAATGAATGACTCAGGAGGTCCGTTTGCAAGGTCGAATTGGCAACTTGTTTGACTGAAAGAGTCACGGCACAGGACTTTGGTGTTGCTCCCCTTGACCGGGTTCTTCACCCTGTTGTATCACAGTTTATTTTGGAAGAAGAAGGGAATGCGCTAAGACAGAGTGTGGGATCCATTTTCGGACTCTCCAACCTATACGTTCAGTGGGAGGTTCAGCACCCACCTAGAAATGCAGTAACCGTAGTAAACCACCCTAAGGATGAACAAACCGTTGATAGCACTGCTACTACCAATCACGCAAGGACCTGTAAGTTGCTTGACTGCAACTGCCAGCTTGCTTCGTAGAAGGAGCTCGGAGGAACCTCCAGCCGACGAGGAGGGGCCTTTGCGACCTTTCCTGCAGCCCCGGTGCAGCGGTGCCTGCATCTCGGCAGTGAGTGCGGCGATCGGACTTTGTCGCATGTGTTTCTTTTTTCTTGTTTAATATTGTTTAAGCTTCCACCAAAATATTGGAAGCTTATTGTAGATGGGAAATCTCCAAAGACATGATGTTATTTTAAGAAATATGATGCACCCTCATCATCAACCCTCTACTTGCATCCAAGCACAGGTTCCTTTTGGCTTCAATACCCCGAGAACCTCGAGGTGTGCGTTTCCAGCTTTGACGAGGTGTGCGTTGTCAGCCATATACTTTTAAACGCAATGGCCTTTGGTGACACATCACATCAACATAAGATTCAGTAAAGGCCATCGAAACCGCTCAACCGTAGGTGCAAGGATTTTGCATTGACTCGTGGAGACCGCCCCAAGGTCCCTTCGTGCAGCTGGGCCCCAATGAAGTATTGCTCTTGGAGCTCACTACGCCCGGCACCCCGAACTGGACCCAAACTCCACAGCGGCTGGATGGGCTGCTGCGAATGGCTGGTGGTGGTGTGGCACGGCGTATTTTTTGGGATCTGGGGATCACTACGAGGGCTCAAAGAACACCTGGTGAAGGATAGCCAAGAGCCCCAGTGGCGATTGGATTGAATTGGGGATCACTACGATTGTATACGATTGTGAAATCTCGTGAAAAAGGATCCGTTGGGTTGTGTTGTTTGGAATCACTTGCATGTCTTGATGGCAGTCAGAGTGGTCTAGTAGAGGTCACAGCCACCAAGATGAAGATGAGGTCTGTCAGGTTTGTCCCACAAAATGCTGAAACTACGGTACACTCGGTACACCCTATTTTGGTCATACTCGCCATGACATGGCGCGAGAGCTCGCGAACGAGCTTCGCAACCCCCTACGGTGTCCGCCGGTAGAGGCCATCACTACTGGAGCCGTCCCGGTTAGAACAACGCTGATAAAAATCCCATTAAAGTCACCTTTTGGGACCATTTCACAAAACCCTTTATTAAAACTCACATCAAAGAATTGCAAATCCTGTATATGAGAATGCCAACCTCAAAGCTGTCGGGTCACAAGACATTTTTCGTTGTTAGTACTGAGAGGCGTCCCAACTGCCACGGGTCCCTGCTCGCCAGACGCTTCAAAACCGGGACAATGTGTTTAAAACATCATGCATTAAACTCGTATCATTGAAAAGCACCCAATAGCGAATTCCCTGTCCCCATTGCGATACACTGCTGAATCCAAACCGCCTATGTAAGGGGTGTTGAAACACTGACGAAGAGTCTGGCAGTTTAGCACTCACGCAAAAGCTTGTGTGGCAAACCTCTCATTTATATATATATATATTATATATATAATTTATGTTATATAATATGCAGTGACAATGAAGGCGACAGCTCAGCTGGGTACCTAATAACTAAACTACCCCAAATATGCATTTGGGGCATTGAAGCAGAAATTAAAGCGGAATTAAGTTAAGAGCTCAATTTGGAGCAAGGTACATTTACGGGGTGCTTCCGCACCCGGCGGCAGCAGCCGGCCACGCTGAGGCTTTGCCATGGCCATGGCCCGGCCCCGTCGTTTGGGTTCGGACGGTGGATGGCGAGGTGTTTGGATGACACCCGGCTTCTTAGACTTTCAAGTCCAGAATGGCAGAGTGGCATGGAACCATCCAGCTGGCATCATATTGTGGCTTCTAGATTCTACATTCGGCTCAGCTCGGTATGATGTTAAAGTTTTTTTCTTTCGGAATGATGCGGCCTATGAAACCACCAGCCACGCATGGCTGGTTGTTTCATAGATGGTTTAGGGTACTTTGAGTCATTGAAGTTTACCTTGGATGAACCCCATGAATCCCAACGACTGACTCGATGTATGTTTCTTCTTGCTGATCCGTCCCAGCCTGACCCCAACCCGCCAGATAGCCAGCTCTACAGCTGCAACCGTTCAGTGACGCGGGGGCGCCTAGTGCCGTTTTGACCATGGTTGGACCCCGCATTTCCTAACATAGAGACATAGAACCGGAGAATTGACCCGTGTGTTCGAAGACCAACCCAGTGGTTTCGGGGTTCCATGTAGCCCTTTTCACCAAGGTCTGGCAGGGACCCGTGGACACCATAAGTCATGGAGGCTCTAGATAGGCATGCCGCATGCCGCACCATTCCATGAGCTTTCGAATGTAGAAAAAGACATGCATTCAAGATCCGAGAAGCTATGTTGGAAAAGGATGTCACGGCTGGAAGCTAAGATTCTTCTGGCAACCACGAAAATTTGGCTTCTAATTTCTATTTACCTCCTAGAAATTCCAAAAGTGGCTTCTGGATGCTTTTGGCAAGCAGCACGTAAGGAGGACGTTCTCCGCTTCACTGCCTGGATGTTTTTTTCCTCACCTTTTGTATGTCAGCTTTGCATGGAGGATGCAAAGAGTTTCCATGAATCTTTTGGGTTGTGGCCTCCCAACCTCCCAGTCTAAAGACTGCTCGACCACTTTGGCTTGGCTCTCCGTGTTTCAGGTGTGGCTTTCATTTTCTCATCATGTTCATTGTCCTCATCATGTTCATGTTCGTCTTTGAATGAAAGGTTCCACTGCCATTTGGCAAATGCCCTGGCTTTCCAATGCCCTGCCAGACTTTGGCTACCGGCCACTTTTTGTGTCAAGTTCAGGTGCCTGTCCAGGCTTCACAATACCAGTTGTTCAGCAGGTTGGGTACCAAATTCTGAATATATAGAGATATAGATATGCTCTGAATGTGAACCCTCTATTGGCTGGATGGCCTCCACACCCTTCATCCGCCTCACCACAGGGCGATGGGGTCGAGAAGGTGGTGTGTAGGAACGGTGTTCGTGCCTTGTCCAGGCCTTGTTCCTTCCCTTTTCCTGCTTGGCTTCAGCAACTCTTGGGGCTTGCAGGGGCACATCCACACACTCCCTTCAACACATGTTGTCAACAGCGATTGGCCATAACCCTCTACATTCCAGTGAATCATTCCAGTCCCAATCTCCTGTCTTGAGAACAGCACCTTGCACAGGCTTTGACTAAGGGCCTTCACTCGGAGGCCACCAGTGCCACCACGTCTAGGATTTTTACGACCCTGGTGGCTGGGAGTTGGTTCACTTGTTGTGTAGTATCTCAATGTTTGCCACCAGCTCGACCAGCTCGTGCCGATTTCAATTCTCAATTGCTTTGTTTGGCTGCCGCAGCAGCCAAAGCTCCCTCAACCTATGAAATGTGTTGTTTTTCACCGAGTGCTCCTTTTTTTGTAAAGAACGGCCATCAAGTCATCATCATCATCATCATCATCATCATCATCATCATCACGTTCTTCATCAGCATTATCATCGTCATCATCATCATCATCATCATCATCATCATCATCATCATCATCATCACCTTCGTCGTCCTCATCACCATGGGAACATCACCAATGCGCAGAGATACAGGCCTACTACATACTGGTGTTAAAAAGCTTTTCCGCAATTCCACAAACCATACCACCACCACTGCATCAGGGTGATGAAGTTGTATAGTATAGACACTACTAAGGTGTGCATGAAGGTGTGCAGATTGTAGGCACATGTAGGAATACAGAAGGCGAAATCGGTACGGTACAAACGCGATGAACAGTATCACAACTTTTCCGTGGTTTCTATTGGAAAATTGTTCTGGTTTTGGTTGCCAAGTGGCTGCCAAGCGGTGCTGCCGAGCAAGTGGCTGCAAGAGCAGGGGGCGCACACATGATTTCCACTCTGACTGTTGAAAGAGCTACAGTATCACCTTCAGGCCACTTGACAGCCACCAAACAATCTGAACGGTTTTCCAAACAAAAAGCAACACCTCGAAAAAATGACTGTGACGTGTGACGTTGCATGATGCGGAGCACCATGCGTGGCTCCCAAGAGGCTACACCAGAGGCTATTCAATGAAATGAGAAGGTGGAAACATGTGTTCCACCCACAAGTCATGTTTGTTTTGTTTGTTTGGCAGACTCAGCCACGAAGAGACGTTCATGTTTGTTTTAGCCTCTCCAAGCGGCACACCCAACAGCTCTATACAGCTGCACAGGTCACACCCAACCCAGCACCCACCAACGACCTGTGTGTTCAAGATCTGATGTTATCAGGCTTATTGTGGCTTTTTTTTTGCAAACTGCAACTGCAGAACGACAATGGTAGAATGACAATTCTTCACTAGCTATACTGCTTCCAGTTCCACGTTTGAGGCCGGCTTGTGATGAGCTGTGTGGTGATGAGTGAGGCGCTGAGACATTGAAGCAGGCGAGAAGAAATGAAGCATCTCCCTTTGAACAGTTTCTTCCTGTTTCTACAGCTCCTAAATTTGTGTTTTAATTGTTGTCCCATTTGTGACACATTGAATTGTAATTTCAACAAGGGTCGTGCCCCTCCCAGACACTACTAGGATGCAAAGCCACAGAAGGAAAACTGACCCTTCATGTTCTCTTCCTCAATCGACTCTGCTCCCTCAGGCACCTGTTGATGGAGGACTTTCAGAGATATCTTGCACCTGGGACTGCTTGACGAAACATGGGATCGGTGGGGATGGATCGCACCTCTCTTTTCAGGATGAGCACGGATCCGGATCCACTTACCTTGAATTTTTACATAGAAAACCAGCGAATAACAGGAAATAAAGTAAATAAGCTTGCCGGCAACAGGGCCACCTTGAAAACCATGTCGCTGCAGTTCTTATTGATATACTTAAGTTCAGCTATGTTGAAGTGTGGCTGTGTGGCTGGGGCCTGAAACAGCAGCGATAGCCCTCCCTCAAAAGTGATAACCTTGTTGAATCATGTCCTCTTCGGCTCACTCATATTTATGGTTACCTATAATTTAAAATACCTGGGGTCCATTCAGTAGAGGTTTGAGTTCCGCCCTATTAGTTCTCTTTTAAGGAAGGAGGTCACCACTATATCTTCACCCGAGTACTAGAGCGGTTGATGTCAGAGTCAATGTTGAAGAGCACACGGCTTGTAGCAGTTCCAAGGACTTTGAAGATAGATTAAGCATTGGTTGCCAATACATGGGCTGAAATGACGTCACGTGTTTCTTTACGTTGGGATGAGATCACAATATTATTGTAAGAACTATTTGCTTGGAGCTTTGCACCTTCTCTCGGGCTCTATGCGATGATCACAGCAGCATGGGGGGTCCCAGCTCTACATCATGAGATTCCACTGGCCTTGGCCACAGAAGTGCTGCACATTGGATGCTCCATGGGCTCCATTGGAGGTTCCGGGGCCCAGGTGCTTAGGCTGCAAGGAATCGCATGCAGAATGAGGATCGCAGTGATTGGATCCAACTGGGATGAAGGTGCCCAAAGTGAGAACTGATCCACCAACTGATGGAAGGTCATTGACAGAGTCATTGAGAATCTCCCTGCCAAGGATGGACAGGTTTCCTGGCCATTCCTGGGCAAACAAGCCTATGGGCGTGCCCGAAGACTGTACCAGGTACATTTGAACATGACTCAAAAGTCAAAAAGAACACAGGCAACGAATGCTCATCTGGTCGAATGCTGCTCTAGGGATCGAAACATGATCGAGCCGATTCGCCGAAACCCACCAGGAATCTCCCAACCACTGAACCTCAAGAGATTATTTGCGAATGCTCACCTGGGCTGTCCAAAACCTCTGCTCTCAGCGTGCAGCGTGACGCTGGCTGCGCCCCTCTGGCTGCGCCAACACGATGCTGAGGATGAGGTGATGTCCACTAGCCCGTTCGAAGGCTGAGATCACCGTGGCCGCTGCATGGCCCGGTCGGTTCGGTCCACGAACTGGTGCCCGGGAAGTCGGGGTCAGAACAGGCTGACAGTCACTGGCAAAACCTATGGGTGTATGGGTGTGCATTAGAATACGGAGACCTCTCAAAGACCCAAAGGCCTTTGGGAAAATCAAGCACAGACTAAATCCATTTGTTGGGAGGTCCCCCTATCAAAAGGCAAAGTAGCATTTGTTTAGGCTGTGCCCCCCACCCACTAGCAGTCAGAATCACTTTATTATTATATAACCGTTATAACCTTCATCCTTCTTGCTCACGCCATGCTGAGCACCTTTTTTGCAAAGCTCCGAAGAACTTCCAAAATCAACAAGTCACCTATCACCTACAGGCACTCGAATTTAGTCTCGAGATGCTTTGAGATCAGTGACTAGGTTGGATGACAGGTATAGCAAGATTCTCAGAATCTTAATGCCTACTGTTCTACAGGTAATGGACTCGTTTGACCATTTGTCTCAAAGTGACAGACACTTCGTTCAAGTCAGAGGTCACACGGTGTTTTCTTTCGAGCGCAATTGGATGCAATTGTCCGAAAGGGTCTTCACCCCATGTCCGCAAGGGCACCAGAAGTCGGGGTCTTTGGGAGACTCAACATGGCGCGCTGAACATGGGAGTGGTTTCTTGAACTTGATGCCCCGAGAAGAGATCCCACAGATTTGGTCAATCCGATTTTTGAATGGCAGCATGCACTCCAGAAGGCAACATATACACCATTTAGACCCAGGGCATCCCAGGGCTCTTTAGCTTCACCAACCAGAGGTTTCTATTTTGGTCTACCCTCCCGTTGTGGCGAGGTGCCTTGCCTGGCGAGGTGCCGCAGGTGAGGCCCCACACATGGATGGAAACGTGACTTTCATTGACCTTCTGTGGCAAGACTTGCAGGTCCAACAGGCAACTATCATCAACTATCCAACTTCCGAGTTCCGGAAAGCATTGTCCAAGATGCATCATCGAAGGGAGACATCTTTGCTTTTCTTGTCCAGTCCACCATCTTTGAAGCCTTCAGGGGGGACCACGGAAATGTTGACGGAAATGCCACTCCCAGGTGGACTTGAGCCAATCAGAGGCCTTCATTATCCTGTCTCAGCGCGGGGCCTCCGAGTTTGGATCTGTCGGCGGCCTTTGAGTCTTTGGTGGATTTGAAGTGCAAGATTCTGCGAGAAACATCAAGAAATCATATCATTCTTTTAAATCCTAGCATGCACACTTCGGTATACGTTTTCATTTCAGGGTGAATGTTCTGAATTTCTACTTTGAAAAATTGCTTGCGCTCTTGTGGGCTATGTTTCCTCATCCCCAGCGACCCGTTTTCATCCCCTTCATCGCCCGGCTCGCGTCGAACGCGCCACGTAGGCCAGGCGCTCTACGTGGCGCTGAGGGCCTTGGCTTGGAAGATGCGGAGCCGGGCGCGCGCCGTGCGGGCCCAGGGATGTGGCGGAGGTATGGTCGTCGCCGATTGAAGGCCAGTGAGGCTCTCTTCAGGAAGGAAGGCGCGTGCCATCAAACTGCAGCCATTGCGGTGCAAACATGCGACTGGACATCACATGAAGCACCATGAAGCACTCATTTCAATCCATGTCACACTTCCATTTTTTAAAATCCCATTCCGGCTAAACCTGAGATTGTCGGACATCACCTTGCATGACAAACAGCCTGCGCACAAACGCGACGGGCACCAGACACTCATGCTCATATTAGCGATGGCCAATTTATGTGTCATCCGGTGCGCGAGAAGTTCAATGCAACGACAAACACACTGAAGAGCTACAGTGTTGATCCATGTTGAGTGAGCAGATTAAACAATGGCTGAAGGTGCCTCTAGCAGGATTCTGTAAGACCAGCCTTGAGAGCATTTGAGAGTCCGATTTCTGTCCCCACCCCTCTTCACGTCCACGTCACACACCGCGCCGCACATGTCGGTTCCTGATGGGCCAAGCCAGTGCCCATGCAGAGCTGGATCCAGCCCCGCCTTCAGAAGTGGAGCGGAAGGAGCCGCCTTGTGTTCCGCCAGCGGGCAGCTGGTGGTGTTTTCTGTATGCATTATCTATTGCTTTGTCTTGTTTTGTCTTGTTTTGCACTGATAGCTGTCACGAGGAGCGTTTCTTAGTCCCACATCCTGCCATACCCTGGCACATCCAATGTCCACATGTAGAGGTCTTCGGACCGGATGTCAATGTTGGTTCGGGGATGTAGGCGGTAACACAGGTTCCTGGTTGACTTTCACCCCTCCAAAACAAGGATGTCGAGTCAATTTAGACTCCTTCCCCAACAGGTCTCTTGTTTGTTGACCCATGGTAGGACCTGGTAGGAGCATGTAGGAGCAGACAGGAACGAATCGGTCCAAGAGAGCTTCAATTGCAGGTCCCGACATTTGATGGTTTACAGTAGCCCCCAAATAGAAAGACCAATTCTTTTCCAATATAATTTTTTTGGTAGGGATCTACATGGATCTGGTCTACTGTTCTTCTATCTATTTGCGGGATTTTGGGGGCTCTATGATACATATATACATGCCACAAATCCCTTAACCTCTTCGAGAATTGCAATGCCTATCCCGTCCACACCGGCGGCAGGCGTCGGTGTGGATCGACGCCATGGCCTCCAGCGGCGCCTTCGAGATGCGAGTGCCGACGGCGCACCTCGCCTTCAGCGGTGGGTAGGGACGCACCGGTAATGTAGACTCTTAATTCATAAAGCCACCCCATTTGGATGAACGGACTTGCGGACTGTCTGGTCAGGCGCGCCTCCACTCTCCCCCTTGCTATATTTTATAGCGGGTGAAGGTGGATGTTTTCAGTGAGACTCTCTACCGGAAAAGACGTGAACCCGAAAGAAAAACTCTGTACACTACGAAAGCAAACAGGATACGAAGGGCTGGATGCAAGTGTTCCGGAAAGAGTCGAAGACACAAAACTGAGCTTCGTGAATTAACAGGTTATGATGAGCCTAATTGGGGCCAGGGTGTGTAACCAGGTCGAACTCTTTTTTCCTGAATAAATAGTAACGAATATGTTGCGTAAACTTCTCCCGTTTTGACATTGCGATTTCCGGCCAGTTTGGCCATTGTGGTGCGTCGTCTCACAAGGGAATTGGGAGGGGAAGGATTTCGTTATGGAACGGTGGTTGTGCGGTATTGTCAAGACCAGTTCCTGCAAGTACTGGTATGTTTCTTTAGCATTAGGCAATGTGGGATGCCTAGATACACCAGACTCATGATACCTTGAAAATCCCAATCTTGTGAGACTAGAGGTACCTTGTAGCTTATAGGCAGGAACTATCTTGGTTCTTGAAAAAGTCTGAATATGCTTGAGGATCAATCTGAAGGTTTCTGCTAGAACCCGAACTGACTTGAGTTTGGTAGGTTGTAGGCTAGTTTTGGGGTCGTGGTATTCAAGAACTTCGTTGGATGTCTTTCCTGCGACTCGACTAGGCAGTGAGCGTCCTGCCCATAGCATAAACGACACAGCCAGTTCTGTCCAGGATATTCCAGGGTCTTTAGGCATGGGTGCTGTGTTTTCAGCTGGCCACTGGAGCAGGGAACAAAAAGACCACACAAGCCTAGCGTAGTTACATCCCCACGGGCATGACCAGAAAACCACCCTATGCGGTTCCGCTGGTAGGATAAACAAGTTATTTGCTGTTGGCCAATCTCGAAGTTCTGCAAGTTTCGCAGAACATGAGGGCGTGAGAATTGTTTGTCCTTGTTCGTTTGCATTCGACTGTTGGTTGTCTTGAGTAATCTTTCTCTTAGCCTCTTAACCCCATTTGGATTGAAAAACTTCTTTGTATCGGGTGTATTAATCAAGTGTCTACATTAGAGGGTCCGTTTGGACACGTCTTGAGCCGCACGAATCGAATAAAATGGAGCCGCCAACATCCGGCATCGAACAGCGGCCGAGGTTGGGGGGCGGGGGGCCGACCGACGTAGAAGCATTTGCATGAATTGGGTACTGGCCTGCTGCCATTCCATCATAGAACATGTCAAGGCATGTCAATAATGGTGCCGAATAGTGAGTCCGGACAGGGAAAAGAAACACGACTACTTAACATTCCTATTTGGCAAGTTCCAGTTTGCCCTTTGCAAGTCATTTATATAATATATATATATATTATATAATTGTTCTCGATTTGTGCACCACCCGGCTGCAACCCATGACGTGCATCCGGGTGTGTTGTGCCACGTGAGGAAACTGAAGCGCTCCTCCTGCCCAGTGGTGCCGCACACGTTCCAGCATCCTTGCTGAAAGAGATTTGCTTGCTTTGAGCTTCGCAATTCGCAATTGGGCGTGATGATTTCCACGTGTTCACTGGGAATGTATTCTTTCATCGGTAAGGTAATCGTCTCGTCTCTCATATATCAAACGTGGATGTACCCCGTAGCAGGCCAGCAAAGGTATAGTTATATATGTTATGCTATATTAATGATTAAAATTGTTTGAGGCGATGCCCCAAAAAATGGCCTTCACGATTGACTGCTTCCTGGATGGCGAATCTAAAAATGACCTTCTGCGTCCCGCTTGATGAAGACCACGCATCGCTACCCATCAACCGTGATGGCTCCGCTCCTCCCGGCCAGACTGTCCTGCATGAAGCAAAACGAGCAAAAATATGCAAGAAAATACAAAGAGGCAGAAAAGAGACAAGCAGAAAAGCAAAGAAGCGGAAAGGTAGAGAAGCTTAATAACAAAGAAGGAGAAGAAGAAGAGGAGCGGCAACCAAGCAGAAAATAGATCAATCAAACAAGTGAATACATAGCAGCAGAGAAAATGGCTGGAGAAACCAAGCAATCCAAAAAGGATTCCCAAGTCATATACAGGAAACACGCACAGACAAAAATACTGCCCTCCTGTGGAAATGACATGTACAACATCAATTAAAATAATTGCAGAACCTTGTTTCCCAAATGTGCAAACAGGTTAGGGTATGTACGGTATGTCGGTTTTGTGAGGGTATACTATAGTTTGTTTCTATCTACTGTAGGTGGAATCCACCCTTTGTTCATTGCTTGTAGTAAGCAAGCAGGGAAGCACCACAGCAAGCAAAGAAGCAAAGGAAGCAGAGGGAGCGAAGCAGGTCCTCCTTTGGCATGTTCAACCCTGCAACACAACACAGGACGCTACGCAATCAAGAGTCATTCTCAGGGGTTTTTACCTACACCCTTAACAAGATCCAAACCCAAAAAAGAAAAGCATAAAGCAAATCCGAACCCAATCTGACCACAGATGTGGGAGTCCTGACCTTCAGTGAAGGCAACGAACCTTCAGTGAAGGGTGAACAAGAAGATGAGTACGAATATCACACCCCCTTGAACTCATCAGATTGGGGTGATGGAACTTGGGTATTTTAGCGGTTTGACTTCCAAGGGGAGGAGGCTGTCAGGCAACTTTCAATGAACTTTGATACTATGACCAGGTTCATAAGAATACGCCACGCAACCGCGCGAACCCAGTCTAGCTGGACCATCCAAGGAGTCACAAATGGACCCCACCCTTCGACATCTAAGACTTGCATTGGGCATCTCAAGGGATGGGTCCTTTGGTAGACATGTGTCATGTGCTTGGCAGGCTCCATGCACCGTGCTCCTTGCTTATCCACCCAACATACCAGCGACGTCCACTTGTTCTACACGAAGATCTACGGCAGCAAAACTAAGTTCCCTACCCAAGCGGTGCCAAGCGATTCGTTTTCTTTCGGTTCATTCATCCCCTTCATATCCTTTCTCCCTTCCTAGCCCGCGCCCGATGGGCTACGAGGTCCGCTCTGACAGAGGATGACTTCGGCCTCAGTTTCAAGAGCCGCCTCCATCCCACGCAGAGCCCTTCGGCCCGACACTCCGAACTGCGGCGCGAGAGGCGAGACCTGAGACTCCACTCCTGTCGGGTCTCCGTCTTTGAACGATGGTATACGGTATACATCGTGGTGACATGTGGTGCAGTTGCAGGAAGTTGTTCATGGTGGATCCCGAAAGTGCTTTAATTGCTTGACCAGATTGGCAACGGAATCCCTGAGTCAATCGGCTTGTTACAAGTTGATCTCCGAGAACTTTTGATCCTTACTGAATGTTCTGGTACGTGACATTGTGTTGTCTTGGCCAGGAAAGAAAACCCATCAAAAAGTATCATAGACCTATATACACCATCCACGACATCATTGGAGTGGTCAAGGGCCAAGAGGGGTTAGAACAGTCCCAAGTGTTCGATTGTTCTCCGAAGAATCTTCAAACGGAACAGGGCGACATCCAGCCCTCCGCACTGCACCCTTGATCAGACAGGGCTTTAGAATGTGTTACAAGTAGCACGTACCCTCCCTGAAACAATCATGGAAGTGGAATACAATGGAATCCAGCCTGTTCGTAGAGGAAAACAGTCCTCCTTTCAGAGCCATGTTCCACGTAGCCGACGTAGCCATGGTTGTTGGGTGGAGATCCTCTCGCGATCCTTATAAATAGGCGCGTGTCGTCAGCACATGTTGACACCCAAATCGCAAATTCCCTGCACTCATTCATTTGTTGGTTAGTGTGGTCTTTCCACGTACACCGGGCTTTCTTTTTGCGGCCCAGGCATGGATGAGGTGCAGGCAGGGAATGCCGTAGATTCCTGGTTAACACCAACCTTGGCATTGGGAGTTCCAGAACCAGAACTGACAGTTTGATGATCGTTGGATGCCTATAGCCTGTCGCTGCTCAGGAGTCTTTGTACAACACTAGTCGATGACTTCTGGGATGGCACAGCATTCAGCGTAACCTAACATTTTGCAGTTCATTTGGGTGACCTGAAGAGGAATGTTCCACACTGCACTGTATCGTTTCTCCACTTAGCCCCTCGTCACCTCTGAGTGCGCATGTCGGGAGTGGACCACCACCTGTGCGGGAGGACATGTCCAGAAACGGTCTCTATAGCTGTGCCCGGGTGCACTCCTCAGACGCCATATTTGCATACATTAGGGATCACTAGGGCGTTTCAAGGGTCAATGTAGGCATATATTCCAGCCCCATGGAGTGTATAGGGCCTGATCCTGTTTGACGACACACCCGGACCGTCGCCAATTAAAAAAGCCCGTCACCGTGTTTCCAGCTTTGGAGGCACAGATCGACTACATGTGGGTGCAGCGTTTGGAGTTTCCAGTCTTGGAACCTTGGAGATCAACCGTTCTTGTTGGTTTCGTCTTGAAGGACAGAGGGGATTAGAATGAGGAAGTGATTTGTTGCTGTCATTTCCATGCACCTATTGAGTTCTATTAATTTAATATTGATTTTCTTCATGCACAGTTTCATCCATGGCTTAATCACACCTACAACGAGAAGTCCAGACACGTTCACAGCTCAAGAACGCTGGCATCCTGGCAGAAAAGATCGTTATTTACTTGTATCTTCTTTTGGCGAAAACCTGGTGCGTGTGACTGTTCAATGCCGCCCCAAAGCTTCTTCCTCGTCTTCATCTTGCTCCCTTCGATCCTCAGGAGACAGAGTTGGCAGAACAGACGACATGGGCGATCTTGCCGGGCATCACCTTCGCACAGGGCGAGAACGAGCAGCACATCAGGTCCCGGATGGTTCCAATTGATTGGACAGGCAAAACTGCAGGGGATTGCTGGCGGGGTCTAGTGGAGCGGTTTTGGGTTTGCTCTTCTTAGATAAAGATCACTCCCACACAGCGCACTGCGGTGTTTGGAAGGAAGAGCAGGCTTCGAGGCAGGCATGGGGTTTGGCTGATTGCCCTCTGGCATGATGCAAAGACAAACAAAAGAACACCAGCAGGTCTAAAGGTCTAAATTCCAAAGAGGACAAAACCTAAAGTCTAAGGGTCTATACATAAAGGTGCATGTTCAACCTGGCCTTTTTACGCCCAGAGTTCTTTCCCTTCTCAGTGACAGGACACCTTTCTTTTGCTACCGTTAGCACATGTTACAGTAGCAACAAACTGTTTGGAAGGTGTAAGCCTGTGTAAGCCCTATGCTAATAAAAGAAGACATGCGTGCAAACCAAATCTTTGTTTAACCGTATTCTAAAGATTTTTGAAGCTAAACAAAGACACCACAGGATGTAATGACACCACAGTTTGATGGACAATGGACCCTTGCCCTTTGAGTGACCCTTATGAGTTGCCTCGGGCCTATAGTATATATACTTACCGTATGGTTTTGAGGGGCGGTGCGGCAATATGCATATTGTTTTTTTGTGTGCTTTTGCTGTATCATGTTGTATCCTATTACAGTATCCGATGAATCCTATGCTTATTTTTTCATGCTGTCCATATGCAGGAACATAATTTGCAGCCACTGTCCGCCCCAACATTTCCGGCATCCTAACACTTGGACTTCGAGCTTTGAAGGCTTGACTTCTTCGACGGACAGAGGCCCGTTCGGGGACGACGGCCGCCACGGAATTGGGTCAACTGGAGGAGTCGTCTAAGACTACATCGATGGTGCTCTATTCTGCTCATTGGCCAATGGATTTGGTACCTGGGACATCGTTCAAAGCGGTGGCTCTTCAGCCAGTCCTCGCGAGGACGGTCGATCTCCGCAGTTTTGGCCCACGTCTGGCTCCTGCATGGAAGCCGAAATCGGCTCATACCAGCAACTGGTCGAGTCTAGAGGGTGATCATGAATCATGTATTAAAGGAATTTTAATCTCTTGCAAGAAGCAAGAAATCTTCACACCGGGATGCGATCCCTCATCACATTTTCTCAAGACACTCCCACCTGCCAGAGGGTGCTTGCTCTCCCATGTTTGCGCAGCTTCCCACCTCCCAAAAGGATCCAAAAGGAGCATTCTGCCATGGCCGCTGTTGTGCGCAGCGGCTCGCGCTCGCCCCGCAGGGAGGGCGACGCTGCGCAGGAGGGCGACGCTGCGCAGGTCGATGGCCCTGATGGGCTGCCCGCCTTCACAGCGCAGATGCCACACAGATGATGAACATGGGAAGACTGGGAAGGGGAACGGACGGTGGGCCACACTTCATTTGTCGGTTTGGTGGAGGTTGGGACGAAGGTAAGGACTGGTCACACACCTCCTGAATTTCACGTTCTATGATCGGTTGAACCATGCTGAAACGGAGTTGGATGCTGGACATCGGACACCTCTAGAACAAACCCCTCTCAGTACGGAAGTGCGGCATGAGTCAGAAGCTGGTCAGAAGGTCCGACGGTGCATGTAGCTTGGGAGTTGCCCAGTTTGTGATGTCGCATGCCGTGGCGTGGCATATGGCTGTTGTTCAATGGTTACGAACTCGAAGAGTTACGAGAGCACCGACTCTAGAACGAGAAGTCACAGAGAGAGAGAGAGAGAGAGACGGGCCAGAGTGGCAACATGTGGCAACCCTGTCTCTTTGTTGATGTCTTTTTTCGTTGAAAGCCACATGGTCAAGAAGTAACATGAAGTAACCAGTCCTTGCAGCCATGTCCCACTTGGGCTCCAGGTGGATGCTTTCCAACTCGACTACTTAGGCGAATGTACCGCGACTTCTTAGCGCAGTTCATGCGCCCTGAGCCGCCCAAGGGGACAACTTCTGGCAGCTGCCTACCCGAAGCGGCCGCCGGCTTGCCGTTGGACGCGGCGCAGTTCCTAGTGCTGAGGCAGACCCACAGATGGATCCCAGGAATTTGTGTGTGCGTGGATTTGCTGTAGGCCTTTCGAAGCATGTTCACCTGAGCCCTGGGGCTGGAACTGCAGGTGTTCGTTTGTCATTGCAACCACTGGTCAACTGTGTTGCATCCACTGGACCGCCAGTGACTCTCCATGACTCCACGCCTGTCCGAGCATGTTCGGCATGTTTACGAAAGCTAGCCCGTAGGCCAAACCGAAGATAGTTTTTGCAAGCAAAGTGAGTTATCGAGGGGGCGTGGGGGGAATCGTACAAATTGTCAGTAAATTTAAACAACGGTAAACAATGAACATCAATGGTGTTTCTTGCAGTGTTTAGTTCTCGTGGAGGACAATCTTGGGTTAGTTGATGCAGAACGTGCAAGCCGCGCTTGTGCCAGCAGCATTTGCATCAGCGAGGGTCTTTGTGCAAGTCGTTTGTGCAATGCTCCACAGCTGCGGATGGAAGTCGTCCAAAGTCGTCTCTTGCCCAGGCAGCACTTCGATCAGATTCGATCAGTGCGCTTTGATAACGCTATTATCCATCAGAACATGACAAGCAGTCGCCGCGATGGCACCGCACGGCCGGCCGCACGGCCCATGCGGCCGTGAGAAGGAACTGGGTGGATTCAATCGGCGGAGCATTTCACCATGCTGGGGCAAAAAATGAGAGCCCTGAGACTCGGCAAGTCTTGGGAAGGCATTGGCATCAGACTATGCACACTTGGCAAGGCAATCTTGGGTCATTGACTTGAAAGGTTGGCTTCGGGACCCTCAAAAAAGCACACGGTTCGCGCTTGGTTTTGCAGTGGCCTAGTTCGCCTTCTGCTCGACCTATCACATGTCAACGGCAAGAAGCCCACCACAGCCGAAGAGAGGATGGCTTTTCGGCTCGCCGCCGTTCACCCGCCACTCCCCCTCGAGGATTTAGTAGATCATGACTATCATCTCATTCGCACCGTTTGCAGCACACAAAGCATTTGGACTTGGCAGGGGGTTTGTCCACTTGCTCCCCGTCAGGCCTGGTCCGGGACCTTCCACTCCCTGGCGTGCCTTGCCCGCATCCACTGCTTGCCTGGCGGCCACGCTGCGCCTTTTCGCGCGCCTTGTGCCGAAGCAGTCGGTGCCTTTGGTGGCCGGGGATGCCTGTGAGGAGCTTTGCAGGCGTGACGTGGGAGCGTTGGGAGCAGCTTCCCCAGAGGCTTTGATGGAGGCTTGGTTGGATTTTGCACTTTTTTCCAGATGACCATACATGACTCAGAAAGGATGATGCACGAGGTCCATTCACAAATGTTGGCGATGTTGCGATGCTTATCAGAAAGGTTTCACCAGGGAGTTTGGTGATGATGTCCTCTCAACCTGTTGGTCCTATATGTCACATGTGATATTCCCTTGTGCAGAACGGCAGACAGAGACGTCGCATCGTGCCCCCGATCCGATCACGAGGCCGAAATGGCCAATGGGACTGCCCCTGCAATCACGAAACGGTTTTCTTTTTGGGATGGGTCGAACAATGTCAAAGCTTATTGGACAATGGGTTTATTTCCAAGAACCTATATATTATATATATATATGCATGTTGGTGTAGCAGGGTTCTCACCCAATCCAAAATGTAACAAACTGAACAGCTAGCTTTCTCACCACACCTATGAGCGACTGAGGAGCTCGCCGAGCGGAACGGCCTTGCATCGAATATGGTTGCCTCTCCTGTCGAATCGCTGGAGGAAATGCTGAAGAACCGCTTGGCTGCGTGCTGTGTTTGGCTGGACTCTTACGTGGCTGAAATCAATATGTGCGCATTTTGGGCACGGGAGGCGGGGGGGTTAGGGCTTAGGTTTAGGGTTTAGATGGGTTTAGGGTGCTGTTGGCCACACGGATTTGGCACAGCTTGCAGGCTCAATAGGAGCAGGAAAGTTGTTAAAGAAGTTGGTGCGGCTGCGGAAGCTGTGTTTTCCAACGTTATTATATAGTCAAGTGCACAGACAGAAGATCCACTGTGGAATTGACTGGGGTTGGACTTGTCATTTCTCCTCTCAGTTCAGGGTGAATCATTGGAGCTTGACCCGGTTCTCCCTCCTAATCAAGGTTTGACCTGTATTTTTCTGGGAGACTATGGCTCAGTTGGAACTGCTGTTTGCCTTTGGCTTACTATTATACACGATATTACATAATGATGCATGCTGCACAATGTAATGATATGCAATACAATATACAATATATGTAGCATTATGCAGTATACAGTATACGCATCATATCCTTGACGTTACCTTGTTGTCGTCCCTGGCATTGATCTGGAAAAAAGGCTCCGGAAGGACCCGGGTGTTTCGCTCTTTTGGGGAGGTCGAGTGACCTTCTTGACCGACGGAAGAAGTGAGGTCGGCGTGTTAGAGGACCCCAGCTCCGGCGAAGAATTGGAAGAGGAGGTGGGATGCCACTGCGTCCCTGAGCCGCAAAAAAGGTGGTGAACCGCGTGAATCGCCTTCTTCAGATGTTTGTCGCACAATTCGTTCAGGTGTTTCGATCAAATGCTCAGACCAGAGATAAGAGAAGAAGGTCGGATTGAGGGTTGCTGGATGGCCCATGATGGCCCCTCGTCGTCAGGTAGCGAATCGTTTTTTGCTCAATGGATTCGGTTGGTGAAGATTGAATTAAGTTAGTTTTGCTTCAAGCTTGCTTCTCCAGAATCTTCCCCAACTATAGTTGATACCTGCTTGTTCCCAACCAACGTGTCCACACATGTTTCTCAATCCGATCATCGTTCCCACCCGCAGTTTGATTTCCCTTTTTCAAGTTGACCTTTATGTTTGTCGCAGTTGGTGCTTACGAACCCCAACGGGTTTGTTCAACAGTTTGTTCCCACCTAGATCCAAATGATTGTCATTTGGTTTTACATGGTTTTACAGTATATATTGTGTTTCCTATATGTGGTTTTTGTTGTGTTGTTCTGTTGTTCTTCACTCTATTCACCCTTCCACCTGGGTACCTGGGTACCTTGAGATTTGCCCAGGTTCTCATCATCGGTGGGGATCTCCTGGGGCCCAGCTACGTGACCTTCGACCCCTGGGGGCCTTCCGCTGGGGAGGTGTCTGTGTGGCCGGAGACTTTGTCAAGAGACGAAGTCGTTGGTTTCTCCACTGGCTCGGCGCGTGATTTTATTCGTTTTACACCAAGGGGGGGACGCCTTTTGAAGCAAAGAGCTACACAAAGGATTGGATCTATTGGAGGACATTGTTTACCTAGACCTAGTCACTAGTCTATCTCAAAAGGAGAAGAAAGAAGGGTATTCAGATGTCAGTATTCATGTTTCATCATGTTGTTTTTGCCTTGTCACATTAAAAAGCACGGTGTTTGGGAAAAGACACCCTGAAGGCCTTCTATGAAACCGCGATGCCTTTCGTGTGAAAGGTCCGGACAATCGATGTGACATGATGTGACAGTTTTGGCATTGTGGTTGCTTCCTCTGGACCCAAAGAATCAGATCTATACAGTATTGCTTGCAAGTCAGTAATCTGAAGCTTGTCCGACCCGAATGACATTCAAATGCGGGTAGAAACAGCTGGCATGTCACAAGGGAAGTGTATTGTCATGGTGCCTGGCAAAAGGAACACACCCAACAATATTGACAAGATGTCATCAACTTGTCCACCAACTTGCCTTCAATTTTCCAGCCGTTCTGTGTGGGTTCCATTTTGTAGCTCAGCATTTGCTCTTGCACAACCATTTGTCCAGCTCTCGAGCGACTTGACACCTGCTCAGGACAGTGCCCTGAAATTGGCGCATCCACGGAGTTTTGTGCAATTCATGTTGCCCTGATGAGTCTCCGGCGGCGGCCTGACGAATCCGGCTAATCCGGACAGAGAGAAAAAAGGGTCCGCTCTGAGAGGATCAGCGGCGGGACGGTGGCACGGGCTCGGGGCGACGGTAATGGCGACAGAACAAAAAGCAGCAGGCTGGTTTGATCAGCACGGAAATTGCGATCTAGAAGAGCTGTGGGGAGGTAGTAGTGGTACCTCTTCGAAGGGGTATCGGACCAAGACTTTGAGGAGCGTACTTTTGTCCCTGTGCTTTGAGACATGGTCTTCTGGCGTAAGCTGGAGATGCTACTGTTTCAAAGGTCCAAACAGAGTTTCACTGACTGAAAGACAGATTCACTATTCAAGGATTCCAACACGTCCAGTACAGTAGGCCTTGCAGATTCTCACATAAGGGCCAAGGCGGCCAAGGATTTGGACAAGTTTCATCAGATTCGATCCATGTTTGATCGTTTTCGACACCTTTTTTCCTGTGGGCCTGGTGGTGCACAACTCTTTTCGTCTTAACTGTCAACCTACCCAACTCAATAACCACTTCAACATCACCAGCACATCCGCTTTGCACATCGCCATGCCACCCAGCCAGCGTGGCCGAAACGCGCGGGGCCGGCGCAAGGCGCCCCCTGAGCGCGCACCCACAGGCCTCAGCCCTGAAGAGACGCTTGGAGTGACAGGGGCGTGACAGGTCCAAGGTGTTGGAATCTGGTGACAGAGCTGCTGATAAAATCGCCCCAACCCACTAGATGGTGAGAATTGGTGAGATATGCCAGATGTTCTCCATTGCAGGCCGCTTGAGAAGATGTTTTTGTTTTTTTTTCAGTGTTGCTTCTTCACCCTGTGGGTGGCGTCAGCGCGTCCAGGACAACTCTGTGGGAGGCGCGGAAGGAAGTCTAAGAGCTGCGGCGGCAGCTGTTGAAGGAGGAGACGGGCGAGGCCAGACAGGACAGAACATTTGGCACCCCAAACTCGATGAGTTTGACCTCCAAACCTATGTCAGATGACTACCTGGCGCTACGGGAGACCAGTCTCGGAGACCCAAAGAACACCTGAACTTTGGCTTCACTATGCTTCGCGTTTTGGTGCCTTTCAACGTGCTCCAAACCCCTTTCAACTCAATGATTCCAAATCGGTCGCGAAGCTGACTTACCAGAAAGTGTTTCCCCTTGACGGTCGTGGGATTGTATGAATACGAAGCCGAAGGGGCTGCAGGGTGCAAGGCCACTTTTAAAGTGAGAGGTGCCAGACTTTCCTTGCAGCTGATTCTTGTTGCAAACAGAAATCGGCGCTGACTGTGCAGAGGACATCCCATGTCCGGGAAAAGATACATACTGTCGAGCATCTCTCATGCACACCCCAAGGCTACTCAACCCAGGACTGCACACCGGAGTGCTGGAGATGATGGGCGTTTGTTTTCTTTGGCGGCCCCTCTGGCTCATAGAAAGCTCGGGCAGCCTTCTGCCCGGGCAGCCGTTTGTTCTCCACCCACTTCCCAAGATCGAGCGCCATCAGGTCACCTTGATCAAGCGCTGGGGTATCAACTTTGTGCAGTCCCTGGGCACGAGGATGGCGCCACGGACCGGGAGCTCGTACGAGCGGACTTGTGATTGCACATTTTGCAGTGCTTGGACTGCCTTTGGATGGCACAATGTCTATGGTAGAAGACAGTACTATATTTCTGGAGAATTCTTATTATACTTCTTAATGTATTCCTTCTTGTGGCACCCCCACAGGGCAGGTGGAAAATCTCAGATATCAGCAGATTCGTTGATGCTCTTCCAAACAGATTTCTTGGAACGGAGTCCCAACTTTGCGGACGTGACCCAACATTCCAGACGAGGCTGGCGGGATGTTGACAGGTGCCTTTTTAATTTGATGCGGGTTCCTATCGGAAATGGGCGCTGGGGAGGTGGACCCAGTTACCATGCTTGAAAACCTCCCCAGCAGGGATTTATGCAAGCACACTTTGGAGTTTTGGCTTTCTGAGGCCCTGCTTCGAAAACATTCGAAAACCAGAAGCACAAATGGGGGAAGATCATGGAGACTATATAATTGAAGCGGCAAGCCAGACCTGAAACACCCAAACGGCATGCAGCATGCACTCCTTTTCCAGACCTAACCAAGAAAGATGCTCACCAAATCAAACAACGCCCAACCAACTCCCTCGGACTCTAAGGCAATTGGGTCAGAATACCTATCCCACGCGTCCCCGCCGTTGGAGTTCTTTAGCACCTACCACTGGCCGTGCTCGCTTGGCATGTCACCTGCCACCGCTTGTTCCGGCGCCGCTTGTTCCGGACGCCGCAAACACGCGCGGCCCAGTAGGGCGGCCACACCCGGAGACACCGGACGCATCGCCGGCGTGGGGCCCAGTCGGGCGAATCTTGGACTTCCCTGGGAGGTTCGAGACTTGGTGAAGACTTGGCAACGCGACGTGGTGATCGTGAAGATAGACAGAAAAGCTTGTGTGTTTTTTTGCCCGGGGGGGTTGAGCCATTCTGAGCTCCTTTTTTGTTAGGAGTTTGTCTCTTTCTTTTTTTGCAGGGGGGCTCAACATGGCTCAACCCCCCTGGCCATCAGTGCACGACTATCCGTGGTGAAGATTCTGAGCGACACGGCATAGTTGGTGTTTGAAGCTTTGTGTGACGGAACTTGAACAAGGGAGCTCCCAAGATGACGAAGAGTTTTGATGTCCACAAAGGTTCTCCCAGATGCTCAGGATTTGGCCGAGGAAAGCAACTCATGCCAGCTTCTTTCAAGTGAACTTTTGATATGTTGCTGCAGTGAAGCTCAACAAAAGGGTCACTTGGAAGAGACTGCATGTGGTCCTCAGTATTTTTCCTGCATCAGAATCCGGAAAACGACACTTCTTTTGGAGTATAGTATAGTAGTATGATTTAGAATGACTTAATCATTTTGCAGGGTTTGCAGGGCCATGGCAGTATCAAGGGGCGGTGTGTGTATTGTTCTTTTATTCCATGTTTGGCCACCTTTGGCCCTTCGCCACCCATCCCAGGATCCAAATGTGACTGGCTATGGCGGCAATGCGAGCCCAAACTCATAGCAGATAGCCGTCATGACGTCATGCAGAAACCTGCCATGGCGCTTGTAGGGCCAGGCCGGCCGTGTCACCAGGCAGATTACACACAATCAATTTGACACACTGCTGGTTCTACAGTCACATGAGGTGCTTGGCGCGCATGATATCATTTGCGAAGCAAGCAAGCAGAGGCACACAGAAGTTGCATGTAATTGCTATAGAGCAACTCAAGTTTGGCATAGTCAATGTTCTCTTCCAGCATGAACTTGGTCACAGTTCAGTGAGACACATTGATGTTTTTGTGGCTTCTATCACTCATCTCGAGATAGCCCCGTCCGTCATCTACTAGTAACAAGGGCATCGCTACTAGTAACAAGTGCATTACTACTAGCAACAAGGGCATTACTACTAGTAACAAGGGCATTACTACTAGTAGCAAGTAGCAAGGATACTAGCAGTATAATTAGATGTTAACGATATGATGCTGGAACGCTATAGTAACCGGTCTGTTTGGTCCTTCGGCTGGGGCGAACCTCACGGTCCGCCCCCTTTTTCGCGAGAATGGCGACCTGGGAGAAAGGCGACGACAAAAGCTTCGGCCGGGGAATAGGATGTGGAGAAAGGAAGATATGGAAGCAACAACTGGGTCCATGCGACTTTCGAGGAAGTAATCTTGCACCACCTGAGATAGTTTGTGCACTTGTGAGCACCTCACTGTTTTTGAGATGCTTTTTGGGCGGTCAGTATGTAAGAAGAACGGTGGCCAAGAGAATCAATGGCCTGTCATGAACAGGTGTTCAATGAGGTCTGAAGTCGTGGGGGCGAAGCAATTTATATAGTGATCCAATAAAATAGACCCCATGTTGAACAGTTTGTTTACTGACAAATTAGATCCTGGCACCGTCATATTTGCCCTTCTTGATTCAATTGCAGCTTGAGATGCTTTCTTTTGATGCTTTGCTGAGGGATTCTTCCAAAATGTGATGCAGCTATGACCCACATGGTGGCGGTTGGCGTGGTGCGGAAGAGGGGAAAAGCGTCCGGCCACCCATCAACAGGTACACAATGGTTAACTATCCGGAGATTCGTGGTTCAGCTCTAAATGATCAGACGGAGGTGTGTGTTTCTTTTCAATCCCACACCCCCCAGCCAGTCCGTGGTCTATGGCTTTGCATCGTTTGAAATCGAAGCGTAGCAGCATCGATCATATCATCGATGTGACTTTTTTCGCAGGCTGGCCTGGACGGTAGACCATCTCCAACTGTTGGGCCTTCGTGGGGAATCTTCAGGTGCCAATTGAGTGGCACCTTCGCGCCGCGGTTTCAGTGGGAAATGGCTACAGTAGCCTTTGCTGAAGCAAACATGGAAACGTCAGTGTTTGGGAAGAGTAGGGCGGTTACGGCTGCTTTGTGCTTTCTACCTTTGTAAGGCAGGTCATTGAACCTTTGAGTGGTTCCAAAGGGATGCACGTGTCATGCGTTTGTGTTGCAAAGCTTTTGACTTTCAGGGAAGTACTGGGTCTCGCAGGTGGAGAGTGTAGAGAAAGACTGGGTAAGTGCTCTCTTGTTGATTGAATAAACTACTTATCAATGTTTCGTCTCCCAATAATGCATATACACGATAGATAGATAGATAGATACGAACGATAGATAGATAGGATAGATAGGATAGATAAGATAGATGGCGGGATAGATAAGATAGATAAGTTAGATAGGATATGATAGGATGGACTGGATAGATAGGATAGACAGGATAGGATAGGATAGGATAGGTAGGTAGATAAATACATAGATAGATAGATAGATAGACAGATAGACAATGATAGATAGATAATGATAGCAAGATCATGATAGATAGATAGATAGACAATGATAGATAGATAATGATAGATAGACAATGACAGATAGACAATGATAGGTAGATAGACAATGATAGATAGATAGATGGATAGATAAATAGATGGATAGATAGGTGCATAGATAGATAGATGCTGCGGCTGCTAGATCAATAAATAGATAGCAAGATAAGATAGATAGATTCGATAGATAGATAGATAGATAGATAGACAGATAGATAGAATATAATACAATAAAACAAATCGAATAGAATAGAATAGAAAGATAGATAGGTAGATAGATATATAGATAGTAATAGGTAGATAATGCTATACGGATAATGATATGTAGATAAATAGGTAGATCGATAGATAGATAGATCGATAGATAGATATAATAGATGGATGGATAGATAGATAGACAGATAGATACGATAGATAGATAGATAGATGGATAAATCTCGATGGGTAGATCATGAGAGATAGATAATGACATATGTATAATGATATGTAGATAGATAGATAGATAGATAGATATAATTAATAATAGTCACGATAGATAGTTACAATTGATAGATGATTCGATAGATCGATGGTGATATATATATATAATAGTTACGATAGATACGGTAGATAGATCGATAGATGGATAGATATATAGAAAATGATAGATATATATATATAATGATGTATAGATAAATAGATCCATAGATAGATATATAGATATAATAGAGACGATAGATACAACCAATAGATGAATAGATGAAGATCAATAGATCAATAGATTGATAACAGATAGATAGATAGACAGACAGACAGATAGATAGATGGTTGAACCAAGCGGAACCTGTTCCACTGGAGATTCAACTTTCTTGTGGAAAACGCATGAAAACACTGCCAGGGAGTGAGAAGGCCTCATGGGAAGTGAGAAAACCCTTCAGAGGCCGCCGGGGTCGCGCAAGGTCATGGGAGGTTGCGGGAGGTGCGAAAGTGACCCACATGTGACAAGTGCAACCAATAAAGAATGTACGTTTGGTTTGATTGAACTTGGATAAGTCGAGCACCTACGAAATGGGCCGACAGCTTAGGCTTAGGCTCCAATTCTGTGAGATGTTGCGGTCCATTCTGGCAATCTCCTGCAACGACTTACATGAGCGTTGCTCCCCACCAAGTGGTACTTTTGGGGGAGGCCACCCAAAAGTCCAGGCCGCCTGTACTTCGATTGCACCATTCAGTTGGATCTGTGAACTTCGAGGCGGGGCGCCTCCCAAGAGACTGGTGGGACGTTTGAGTTGTCTTCGGTGTGACACCACTTGGCGCTCCGAAAACTCGGATGGAAGGTCATCCAGCATATAGACAGAGAGCCCCAGATGTGCCAACAATTTGTGAGTTGGGTTGGAAACCGAAAGAGCCACTCCAATTGATCGCCATGTTTTGTGAGTTAGCTCACTTCACCCACGACCGGCTCGCGCGAAAAAAAAAAAAAAAACAGCTCGGACGAACGAGCATCGGTTTGGGCAGAGCGGCAGTGTAGGACGGGACGAGTCATTGATGTTTCACCCATGTTTAACATCCAAGAGCTGCTGTACTCGAGGGGGTGGAAGGTCTTAAGGGGGTTCTTTTTGATGGCACTGTGTAGACTAAGCATTCGATTCATCCTCGAATCTTCTGAATTGAAGAGCCAATCGTTTTCAAATGTGTCGGACACGACAACGGCTATACTGATTTGCACTGCACAATTCGGACTCAAGAACGCAACTGTTCTTTGAACTTTGATGATAGACAAAGTATACTGATCGGTTACTGGCTAGACCAGATGGCTGCATGAAGCGTAAAAAGTAGTGATGTCCTACGACCTGCAACAGTCAGTGAACAATAATACAGAGTCCGCGGCCTCCAGACGGAACTTCATGAATACTTGAATTGGCTTTTGGTGGCCTTTACTTGCCATCATCCACCACTAGCCACTTTAGCGTCAATGAGTCCTTCACAGTTTTTGTCCATTTTCACATTGCAGCCGCTGTGGGGGTCCCACTTTTCCACCCGCAGACGAAGA